AAACTTTACCTTTGGCCATAACTTTTGAACGGTTGGTGCTAGGGCTTTCAAACTTCACAAGTGTAATCCTTGTGACAAGACCTTCCTTTTGATCTCAACAATTTTGACCCTTTGCCCTTGACCCTGTAGATTGACCTACTTTTGGAAACTTTAACCTTGGCCATAACGTTTGAACAGTTGGTGCTAGTGCTTTCATTCTTCACATGTGTAATCCTTGTGACAAACCCTTCCTTTAGATATAAACAATTATAGCCCATTAACCTTGACCTTGGAGTTTGACCTACTTTTGGTAAACTTTAATCTTGGTCATTTCTTTTGAACAGTTGGTTCTAGGGCTTTCATGCTTCACATATGCCGTCTTTGTGACAAAACCTTACTTTGGATAACAACAATTTTGACCCTTTGACCGTGACTTTGGAGTTTGTCCTACTTTTGAAACAAGAGACCCAAGGGCCTTAACGGTCACCTGAGTATAATACAACAACTTAGAGGATCCATAGAATATAAAATAAACTGGTAGATGAAGATTTGTTGCCCAAAAGGAAGAGTAATTGGATGATCAGGATCAATGAAATAATTAGTCTAATATCTAGTAACAACTCAAAAATTAAGTTCTAATCTGTCCCCAGTTTATCACTATCACCATGCAGACTATTGACAAACTATTAGTGCTTCTGTACTATTTTTAACCCCAAGATATAATCTCTCACATTGGCCTCGTTTGGTCTTTAAGGAACATTTTAAAAAGTTATTTTTGTTATTCCATTATTTACAAGTCTATCTAAAAAATATGAAAGTAGTTTTTGTATTATACAATAATAAATTTTGCATAATTCTCTTATTCTATTAACTTTTCAAATACATTATTTACAGTGATTAATTATCAAAAGTGAATTGCAAAGGGGAATAACTTCTCTCAGTAGAATACAAATTAATAGAGCCCTGGCCAGGACCAGAACACTTGACCAAATGGTCCAGATTTTTAAAAATCTGGTAAAAATATTCTTGCTTATTAAAACTTTTACTTTGTTTGCCTTTGATATGCCAAGGGGCAGAGAAGATTTTCAAAGAAATAATGCATTTTCACTACATGTACAATGACTACAGATTCAACACTGCGCTACCCTAACACCAAAACCCATGACCCAGCTAGGGTAATGAATTTCACAAATTTGGAAGAGTTATCCTCATCACAAATTTGGAAGAGGTACCCTCATTATCATAACTCTGCACTTAGTTAAAGATTTTCAAAAAATTAACATATTTTAACTTATGTTATCAATATCCCCCCCCCCCCCCCAGTGAGAAACACAAAAGCCCCTCACCCTGGGACCACAAAGTTTTAAAAAAAAAAAATTAAGAAGCACCCTTATTCATCATAACAATGCACTTTGTTTATCTGCTCAACATTAAGGATTAGACAGGATTATTTAACAGAATAAATGCATTTTCTCTACATAATTAATTGAGCCCCGCCTTAACACCAGAACCCCTGACCCAGGGGCCATGGAATTCAAAATTTTAGAAGAAACACTCTTGCTCATCATAACTATATACTTATTAAGTTTATTTAATACCCAGGAGCAGAGGAGAAGATTTTCAAAGAATTAATGCATTTTCACTTAAAATAATAAGAGTCCCGCCCTAACACCAGGACCCCTGACCCAGGGGCCATTAAATTCACAATTTTGAAAGAGACACTCTTCCTCATCATAAATATGTACTTAGTTCACCGGCTTAATACCCAGGAGCAGAAGAGTTTTTCAAATACTTAATGCATTTTCACTATATAATCATAAGAGCCCCGCCCTAACACCAGAACCCCTGATCCAGGGGCCATGAAATTCACAATTTTGAAAGAGACACTCTTCCTAATCATAACTATGTACTAAGTCCATCAGTTTAATACCCAGGAGCAGAATAGAAGATTTTCAAAGAATTAATGCATTTTTCACTATGAAATCATAAGAGCACCACCCTAACACCGTAACCCCTGACCCTGGGGCCATGAATTTCACAATTTTGGAAGAAACACTCTTGCTCATCATAAATATGTACTTAGTTTATCAACTTGATACCCAGGAGCAGAATAGAAGATTTTCAAATACTTAATGCATTTTCAGTATATAATCAATAGAGCTCCACCCTAACACCAGAAAACCTGACCTTGGGGCCATGAATTTCACAATTTTGGAAGAAACACTCTTGCTCATCATAAATATGTACTTAGTTCATCAACTTGATACCCAGGAGCAGAATAGAATATTTTCAAATACTTAATGCATTTTCAGTATATAATCAATAGAGCTCCACCCTAACACCAGAACCCCTGACCCTGGGGCCATGAATTTCACAATTTTGGAAGAGGCACTCTTGCTCATCATTACTATGTACTTAGTTAGTTTGTTTAATACCCAAGAGCAGAGAAGACGATTTTCAAAGAAATAATGCACTTTCACTATACGATCAATAGAGCTCCACCCTAACACCAGAACCCCTGACCCAGGGGCCATGAATTTCACAATTTTGGTAGAAGGCTCACTGCTTATTACAATCATGCCAACAGTTTGACTGCTTGATGTTCAAGAGTAAAGAAAAAGATTTTTAAAGATTGCATAAATTTTGGTGGTTTTAGCCCCATCCCTCAGGTCCCAGGGAGGCAGGGACCCTGAAATTCATAATTTTTGTTCCCCTTCACCCATAGATGCTATATGTCAAAATTGGTTGAAATTGGTTAAGCGATTTAAGAGAAGAAGCTGAAAATGTTCAAATGTTAACGAACGACTACGGACAAAAACGGATAGAAATAGGTCACCTGAGTGACTCAGGAGACGTCACTCAGGTGACCTTAAAAAAACCTTTAAACTTTTCCATATCTTTTCAATGGTTGCTACTAGGGCTTTCATATTTCACAGGTATATTCCTCGGTACAAGATACTTTGGGTATCAGCATATTTGGATTTGAGAAAGTTTAACCTTCGCTATAAGTTGCCATACGGGGGGCATCTTTGTTTCACAAACACATCTTGTTTTTTTTAATTTAGATACAGTTGATTTGAACTTTGACATGGGATGGTGGCTAATTTCTTGTAAAGTATGATGCAGGATTCCTTTTTTTCTTTAAATCATAAATTCATTTAAATATATCATGCATTAATACATACTCAGTTCTGAAAAATCGTTAACAACGAAAAATGTATTCTTACAAAACAATGAACCTTACGTTGTTTTACCCCATCTTAATATTGAAAAAACTGATCTCTCAAATAAAACAGCATTGATTTAATATCAAGGGAGTGTATATTTACATGCTCATACTGATCCTATACTAGCACTGCAACAACTAGAAATATTAATGCTGACTGTTTATTTATTAAGTTATACGTACTGCTGTATTTTCTGATGAGATTTACTATAATGATACTGGTTTATGTAAAAAGAGAAAAAGGTCCCTAATCTGCTTATCGCTTCAGAAAATCTAACTGATCAAGGGAAATCAGTATCAGAACATCTTGGTAAACACCGACATTATATAAACAGTGGAGTTCAACAAATACTTATCGTTATCAGACATAAAATCAACATATTTTTTAAATCATTTATAAAACTAAAATAGATTTTTTGGGACTGACCCTGTGCCACTTAGAGACCGTGACAGCAAAAAAATTACGACATTATCACAATACCAAATGCATTCATGATAAACAGTAATTTATCTCAAAGCATTGAAGCAATACAAATCGAGGCAGAGTAAAAACGGACCTCCAAAAACAGAAGAGATGGGATCAGGTGCCATAGAGGGGTGAGCATCCCCTGTCGACCAGACACATGTACACCCGCCGCCGTGTGCTCAGATTAAATAAATTATATCTAAAACACTTATTGACAAATGTTTTAAATATGAGGACAGTCCTAATATTGTATGATAAACAAACAGTAATACGAAAGCCAAGAAGAATTCTCTAAATACTGAATAACATCAAGTGGTTAATGAGCCAATCATTGATCGATTATTATAAAGAATTATTTCGCCAATGAAAGGGAATTAGAATATGCCTCCAAGATACAAAAATTGAAAGTAATATACTGATAACTTTCCTGTAAAGGATATATAATTTTTAATCACTTTATACCTCATATAAACATAAAAAAACGCAAAAATACACATTCGGTGATTACATATATATTTTTAAGTAACTTTATACTTCTTGTCAATTATTAAAATTTATATATATATTCCTGTTAAGTGTATAAATTATGGCTCTTATCAACATCACAATTTAAGAAAAATAATATACATTCCAATAAATATGAAATTGGAAATGTTAGTTAGCTGACATTGATATCTACGTTGGCCCAACGTTATGTCATCTTTTGAACTGAATTCTAACATTGGGTCAATTAACTAACCAACCAGTTGCTAATGGTTCGATGTTAGTTGACTTACTATTATACCTATGTTGACCCAGTAGTATGTCCTCATGTTGGACCAACGTTGGTTTAATGCGCAAAATGACCGTAGGTCAATGTAGGACTACCAATAGTGGCTCAACGTTATAAAAAAATTGGACAACGTTTTCTTGTTATCTAGGATATGTATATATTTTTAAATCACTTTATGTTGTCTTTAACTTTAATTTGTGCATTATTTTGCAATGGCCTGAAAGATTAGTATCATTTGCCCATTAAGTACAGATAAAATAACTTGAATGTCCCCGGAAAATGTTTGTGTTTAATTAATATGTCTTATTTACAGTATAATATCAGTTTTTCACCTCGATTAAAGGTGAGAACACAGATGGTATTTGCTTTCTAACAGGTACCAATGTAGTATCGGTTTTTTCTGTTAGTTTTAAGGCAATTATGAACAGACTTCTTCTTGTTGCTACTGACATGAATTACATGTCTTTCTACAATTCATAAGGAATGTAAATAAACTTCAATTTGAAATCGATGTTAAAATTTCTTTCCTACAATTTCAAGCACGGAAGGCAGTCTCATTAGACATCCCGGCATATCGACAAGGCGCATGCTCCCCACTACAGCATGACTTAAATCAATGCTCTTCAAAAAGTATCGGATAATCCGTGCTTTGGCTTACGGATAACGTTACAGATGTGATTGCCTCTCCGATTGAGCACGCTACATACCAACATTCCAGGACATTATGCAGAAAATACTCACCTTTTTAACTTGGATAATTTTGTTTTTATATTTACCATTTCAAAATGCAATGTCCTCCGGCAAGGACAAGAATAAAATTCAACTCGACGGGAATATGATTTTTGGCGGACTGTTTCCAATGCACGAAAAAGGACAAAGTGGTAGAAACTGTGGGACTATAAAGAAAGAAAAGGGGATACAGAGACTGGAAGCTATGTTGTTTGCAATTGACAGAATTAACGCAAACGAAGACTTATTACCAGGAATTAAAATCGGAACACACATTCTAGACACTTGTAGTTCGGACACTTACGCTCTCGAACAGTGTATGGACTTTATAAAAGCTCAGCTGACCAGCATTGATATGACTGATTACCAGTGTGACAACGGAAGAAATCCAGTGTACACCCCTATCAAACCTGTGGTAGGAGTCATCGGGGCTGCGGCCAGTACTGTGTCTATCATGGTGGCCAATATTCTTAGACTCTTCCAGGTAAGATATACTCATTTTTTTCAAGGTGTCTGTATATTGTGATGATAGGATTTTCGGACTGGGTTTTTTTTCTAATAATCCTGACTTTTTTTTCGTAAAGACATTTAAAGGTTTTACTTTTATATCGATATATCGTTACCGCTCATTTTACCAGATGGTAGTATCACTTTACCCAACACGTGTTACTGGTTTTACTGAGTGATGAACCCTCATAGTCTTATATACATCCATGTCATATATATATGTATACATTCACAATCCATAGTTCAATATTCGCTCTTATATGGGCCAATAAAATACAGAGTTGACTTAAATTCCTTGCGACTAATTGTTTGAAAATCAAAATAACTCTTCAAATATGAAGTAAAAATATCCTCTGATATGAAAGTAAACTGTCTTCCGACAAAAACTGGTAGCCCATATTTTTCTTGTTATTAAATTACCCTTATCGGAGCTCTTTTGTGTTAAACACTGGAGTTTTTCAAAAAACAACAAAATGAATGAAAAATGACAGTTAAATTAGGCGTATCAAATTTGCACAGCAGGTTCCAGTCAACTTGTGAGGATATTTCAACACTAGCTGTAAAGGAAAAAACCTCTTATCGCACGTTATCTGAAGGGATGTTCACAAAAATAACAAGGTTATTTCAGAAGAGCTTAAAAATTCCTCTTTGCATGAGTTGTGCAAATCATTAAAAGAAATTCTGCCAATTTTTCATGGTAAAGTTTTGAGCATATGTACAATTACAGACATCAAGATTTCAAACAATCATCTATAACGTTTTCTGGGTTAGATAGTGGAAACAAGTGTATACATATTTTACTTAAGATGTTTAAAAGATTTGCTAAAACGAAATCTTTGTATAATCAGTAAGGAAGCCTTTTCGTCCTGTCTAAGCTGAGGTACACGTGTCTGAGACATGCCTTCTGTAAAAACGTTGTGATTATAAGTTATATAATTTTTTAATAAAGATATTGTATACATTGACAGTGTAGATATACAAGTAGTAATGACCTTTTCTTTACAGTTTTCTCAGGAAATTATCATTCCAGTATAATATACTATACGGTAATCAATGATGCAGCATATCTGCATGACACACCTGTAACACAGGTATGAGTAGATTTGATAGAGAAGAGGTTTGTCGACTTATTTTTAACAGATTCCTTTATTCCACTCACAAAAGGGCTTCAAATTAAGAAAAGATAGATGTCACAAGTTATTCATTATGAAGCTAAAATGACAGTATAGTATAGAAGTATTATAATAGGATAATGAAAAGTACAATATCAGTTGGCCATTACCTCGCAAATAAATATTTGCAAGGGAATTATGTACGTAGAATCCCTCTGTGTATTGCATCAGTCTATTACATGCGTCAGTTTTTTAACGGTACAATTGGTGTATCTGAGGCCAATTACATGAGGAAAATTCTGTGTTGGGTATCTAGCAATTTTATTACCTCATTTCTTGTGATAATTCCAGTATAGCTACTTAGAAATACTGTGTTCGTAAGACTTTCTTTCTTAATTAAAAAAATTCAATGACGTCACCCATTGTTATTAGTCTACGTATATTTTACCGATTCAATCAGCACTAGTTGGATATTTAAAGATCGAACTGGCCATCAGTTGGATATTCAAATATCCAACTGCCTATCGTTGGATATTTAAATATCCAACTGTGCATAAAAACATAAATAAGCAATGAGCAAAAGAGATCAACGAGTTTTAAAAAGTATTTCCAATGCACATGGAAAAAATAATCACTCCGAATTTGTCACACTATAAGATTTTTTTTCCAATGCACACGGAATTAATTCGCATTTTTCACACCAATAGATCGTGTTACAAATTCACTTCCAATGCTCACACAAATAAATATTCCCCTCTATTTTGTACACTATTAGACTCTTGTCGCCAATAAAATATCCAATATTTATCCGACGGTATTTTTACAGAAATGTTTCCGGTCTTAAATTTTGAAAGCATCACTTTTTGACACGCTTATAAATGCATTTTCACCTTGAACCTTAAACCACATTATTTCAGGGGGTCTTTATCAACATTTCCCCTCAGATTATTTGAGGTTCATCTCTGTTCTCATACTTCCTACTTCCATAAGTTCTAAAACAATTTAATAAATTGACAGCACATCTATTTTTGACACCGTTTATATTGCAGATCTTGATATGGAATATTTTTAAAGCAGGTTCTGCATAACACCGACAACCTTTTCATCTGATTAAGCACTTCAAGAAGTACAGTGTATTGTCTGAATGGAACTCCAAAAGATTCCAACACTTTTCCTCAGCAAATCTTCATCTTATATGTAATGTTAAATTCCCAAACTTTTATAAAAATTATGTAGTTTTATTCTGCTTCAAGGTCAAAAGTATTCAAAACACTATCTAAACCTCTCTAAATTTACTTTGGATTTAAAAGATATTCTTCGTCTGATTTCATGACTGTTCAGTACAAGGGAAAGGTTTGAAATGACATTAGCGCCATTCAGTTCATGCTCACTAGTCCATGAATAAAAGGGGTATTCGATAAGGCTATTGTATTGTGTAACTGTTGGATATCTAAATGGGCTAGATCCTATTGTATTACAGAAAAGTTGGATATATGAATGGGTAAATGTATCTTTGGGGTCCAAAGTGGGGAATTTTTTTTAAAGTAAGATGAATAACTCGATAGTGTTGAATAGTTTGGAGAAAACATCCCCTCCTCGGGCCTTCGGCCCCCGGAGGGAATATTTTCTCTAAACTTTTCAACCCCATCTCCTTATTTATACATTACTTGAGTCCAATGTATATGGTACATCTATATTAATCAAAACCATGAATAAGTGGAAGTAGTACATGTATAAGAAAATTCGAGGTTTCTAATTGGAATTTTTGTTTATTTAACAGGAAAAATATGCATAAATCTATTGAACCATGATTTATGATTTGTTCATAAATGGTAACTCCAATAACATATTATGCTCTGTTCACGCGAGTGCGCATTAACGTTTTACTTACTAAATTCTCGAATGGGACGTTAAAGGACATGCAATCAATCAATCAATCGATCAATCAATCGCAATAAATTAATACTAAATAAAATAGTGCGATTTAAACTAACGCGAATCAAAAAGCGTTCACACGAAAGCTGATGCGAAGCAAGCAAATGAGCATTGAAATTTGGTAATATAATATTAATACTATTTTGACGTCAGTTTGCAAATACCACCACCTTATGCAGAGCAGATATACACCTGACATAATGTCATAGTGTATACAATTCTAGCAACTAAAATTATTTTTTTCTTTTCAACCTTAAATAGTATAGTATCTGAATCCAATCAAAGACTTTCGGCATGAGACATTATTTTGTTATTACGCATGAATTAAATTTTAATATGAATTATCTTCGCTTAGCGTTCACACAGAGTTAATGCGAAGCAATTTGAAAGACTGTAAATTAATTCAAATCTAGCTTATTCATGAAATACGAAGATAACGAACAGTATTCAAGCTCGAAAGTCCATTTAAACAATACAAATCATGAGCAGGCAAATATGGACCTCTAAAAATATCAGAGGTGGGATCAGGTGCATGGGGGAGTGAGCATCCCCCGCCAACCGGTCATAAACCGCTCCCTGTCATGAACAGAAAAAAAATTGTAGATATATTCTCTCTGAAAATAATGGCCTTACAAGTTCTATGAAAAAGTTAATTCAGCATTTGACTGAATGATAGATTTGCCTCGTTGTAGAAATTGTTCTTACGTAGAGCATGCTCTTGCGTATCGAATCAACAGAGAGACGTAAACCCCATATACACGTAAAAAAGTTATATTCAATGTTCCGTGTGAATGCCGTTCAAATTCAATTGGCAGTTACTTACATTTAAAATGAATTAAACTTTTCGTGTGAATAGGGCATTAAATCAAGAACTAGGAATAATTTCTGAAAGATTAATTGATAACCGTATCATTAGAACGTGGATTAAAAGTCTTTATCAGTATACACGCATTTGGGCATTTGACTATTTAAAAAGGCAGACAGTTCACTTTCTATCAAAACTTATGACAAACAGAGGCTTGCAAAATTGAGAATCCCAGATCTTTTAAGAAAGAAGTAGAAATGATGTTAATAGAAATAAAATTTCGCCATCCAGGAAAAAAAAAAGATAAAAACCATTTTTGCGTATATGGTGAGTACATTTCAAGGAAAAAATATGATTTCAGTAGAAGATAGGTTTCATTGACACAAAAAGGTCGTCTAGCACGTTTTCCTTTCTGAAATGAACATAGGCTTCATTGACACAAAACATTCGTCTAGCACGTTTTCGTTACTGGGAACGATGTGGTACATATGTGTTGTGAAATGTGATGATAACAAACAGTGCTCACGCTGTTAAGTCTAGTTATTGCATATTATAGTGCATCTGAAAATATCGGAGTCAGAAGAATCAGAATCAGGTGCCATGGAGGAGTAAGCATCCACGAATGAACAGTTGTCCCACCTTGCTCCCTTTGTCCTGATTTGTTTACAGAGAAATCCATAGCCAATTCACTATGATAATGAAAATAATGGCCTTACAAGTAGTAGTATTAAAAACGTCAAGGACTTCCTGCGAGCAGTTTTTATGCAGTCTTTGCTATAAAACGTTATTGTGTTATGCATAATATATACATGTATATCTATGCATGTCTCGGATTTTTTTAAAAATTCATTTTGTAGGAAAATCATTTGCAATTTTTCCGTATTTTAATTACATAGAATAAACATGGAAAAATACGGATAATCATCTTTCAATTAGCATTACCTTAAAATGTATATTATATTCATACATTACAATGAGATTTGTCATTGACTCGAAGAATATTTAATGTGCAGAAATAGAGATAGACCGGGACTATTTAATTATAAACAACTCCAATAGACCCTTTACTCTCTTAAAAAAGCTTCATCAACTCTTATTTGTAATTGTGAAATTATATTGGTATGA